CAATTTGACAGGTTTGATATCTGCCATAAAACTAAAAATACAAAATTTTAAATATATGCAAAAACAATAAAGTTAGATTCGTTAAACCTGGCAATAATGTTTCTAATTATAGGTCAGACATATCCGTGAAGTTTCTAAAGAATGTTTTGAGAGGTTCGAGTAATTTCTATAAAACAATGAAAGCTAATTCTAGATATTTAAAAAACAAATTTTTATACTCAGATTGTCAAGGTGCAGGTAATAATTCAGTCGGTTTATGGTGACTAAAACATATTTTACTTGTTCAAAATGTATGATTCGAACTTTACGCATTCATTCACAAAAAGAAAAAGTAATAAATGCTTTTAGTAAAAAAATGAAATTACTTTTATTTTCGTGAATTGAATACGCTTATGGAATAAGGAATGAATTTTTAAAATGCCATGCTATTATTAATGTTAATTTAAAAACAAGTAAAAACGTTTCAGTCGGTATGAACCGATTGAATTATACCCTGCACCTTTCATTGTTGTATAGCAATTACTCAAACCTGTGAAACAATTCTATAGAAACTTCACGGATATGTCTGATCTATAATTGGACACACAACTGCCAAGTTTCATGAATCTAACTTTATTACTTTTCCAAATATTTAAAATTAGCTTTTGGAGTTGTATGGCAGGTACCCGAACCTGTCAAGCAATTCCACTAAAACTTCGCAAGTATATCTGATCTATAATTGGACACACAACTGCCAAGTTTCATGAATTTGACTTTATTATTTTTCCAAATATTTAAAATAAGCTTTTGGACTTGTATGGGAGCCACTCGAACTTGTCAAGCAATTCCACCAAAACTTCAGAAATATCTTTGACCCATAATTGGACACACGACTGCCAAGTTTCATGAATCTGACTTTATTATTTTGCCGAATATAAAAAATTTGCTTTTAGAGTTGTATGGCAGCCACCCGAACCGGTGCAGCTATCTCATTAAAATTTTTAGAGCATGTGTAGAATATAATTGGACACATGTATACAAAATTTTATATTTGTACCTTTATTAGTTTTTGAAATAATTAAAATAAACTCTTTGAGTTGTATGGCAGCTACCCGAACCCGTTGTTCGGACTGGTCCAATAACAATAGGATTCGTCCTTGGCACAAAAGAAGCAACTTGTGAAAGTTTGGTTTCGATTGCATTATTCGTTTTTGAGTTATCGTGCGATCGGACGGACGGACGGACGGACGGACGGACGGACGGACGGACGGACGGACATGTCTAAATCAACGCAGAATTTTACGCTGAGCAAGAATATATATATATATGTCCATACCGCAGATGACTCCTTCAAGTAGTTACAAACTCCATACCAAAGTTAATATACCCTTCACGAAGTGCAGGGTATAATAACACGTTTATTTTATAAATCTAAGACTAGATGTAATTAAATAGGCATAAAATAAATTAAGTAGGTTTTTATGTTATTGATTTTTGTGTATCAAATACTTTAAATTGCAAAAACGATTTAATGTTAAATAGTTATTGTTTTTGCAAAAAAATTTTTTATTGAGGTTTGATGTATATTAAGGACTAAGTTCAAGAACAGACTTTGTATTTTATAACATACTTCTAATTTTTATTGATGTATTTGATTCTTTTACTAAATGCTATTACGTTAAAGATTTTTCATGACAACGTGGTTAAATCTTCCGGTTAGTTGCTACATATTTGGATCGTAATTTGAAAAAATTCTACGAATATTTACAATATTATTATTTTTAATTTATAATTTTTTTAAATATGATGGGCAATATAACAAAATGTGATGTGATCAGCACATAACCGACCGCAATGTGTAAGCCCTAGTTTAATGAAAGTGTTACAGAAGATTATGAAAATGCGTTTTAAACACTTACTATAGCATACTAGTAAGTACTAGGATACTAGCAAGCTTTTAGTTGACATACCTACAAAATTGTAAATTTGGCTCTTAGTAGAGTTTCTAAGTAAACTAATATAAAAAATTTTATCAAAAACGGTTCAGCCGAACTTGCGGTACACATAAGTTTGGTTTTGATGAAATTTTATATGTAGGTTAATTTCAACTATGTCGAACTGATCAGCTTTTGGGATATATCAGGCCTTGGGAACTGAACCTTTTAAAGGGCCTGTTTTACATTTTTGATCATTTTTAAGAAAATATTCAAAAGATTTACTTGAAATTTCATATATAAGCTTCATTCGACCTTACGCGGAACCTCCTATCTTTATAAAGAAATCAGGTGCCAGCAATAATCACTGAACTGTTTAATACGGGCCAAATATACATTTTTGCGTACATAATATATAAGAGAAATAATCAACCCAATTCATTGAAATTTAATATTTAAATTCGAGGTATTAAAACAATGAATCTAAAAATTGTTTTAGAAAGATTGGCTCGGAAACAAATCTGGGGACCTTTTTTATATTTTTACCATATCTACAAAACGAATTGATAGAATTTCTTGAAATTTAATATTTGATTTCTGATTGGTATCAGAAATTAATGACAAGCTTTTCGTATAAGTCGGACAGCACAAAATGAAACTGTTCTGAGAGCCAAATTCACCCAAAAAACTAAGTATATTAACTAAAAACTTATTAGCGTCCTTAAAATTGTAAAGAAGTGTTTAAAACGTATTTTCATATTCTTCTGGAATATTTTTACTACTATAGACAATATATAATACGCCGATAATATGCTGATCACATCAAATTTTTTTTAAAATGTGATTTGTGCTGTGATTTTTATTTAACAAGTCTTATAGAAATGTTATCAGAAGGGGATTTATGGAGGACAACATGATATTTGTAACAAAAATAACACTGAAGTTGTAGGAACTTTATTGAAAAAAAATCTTCTTATGAATAATATATTTTGATTTTGAATTACGCTACAATAAAAGATGATCTAAAGAAATTTCTTTTTGAATTTAATAATTTTGAATTTCCTTATTCTTTGCTCGATTTAAGTTGCTTTAGTATACATATTATAATTAAAATCATATGATAAGAATGAGTAAATTTTAATATTCATTTGTTTAAAATAAAAAACCTTCCCCCAATTCGGAAAGAAACTCTTTTGGTACATATGTAGGTATATACATACATTGTAAGCACTTTATCAGAGTTGATGTTTTTCTCTTTCTTCTTATTCGTTTAATATTTAAATAATTACTTATTATTATTTTTGTTTCATATATTTTATTTACAATATCTAAAATTTGTTTCATTCTTTCTTCGCGGTTGAACCGAAACATGCTATTTCGAATTTAAATATTCGAATTGATATCTCCCATTTTCTCCCGCTTTAGTAAATTTTTTTAATATATAGGATTATAAGTCACGTTACTTTTTAGGAGAGTTCAACATTGTTTCTTCAAATATTCTTAAAGAAGTTTCAGCAATTGCAAAAATTTTCGAGTTGAAGTTGAATAATCGATTGAATTTTTTTTTATAGAAAAATATTGAATGGAAACTTTAAAAATGTAGGCTCGCACAAAGAAATATATAAGTTTGTCTAAATCTTGCTGAAACATTAAATAATTTGTTTAAGGATATTTCTGGCGATTTCTCATTATTTTGAATAAATTTTGTTAAGAACTCTGATGATGACGAGAACTAAATACATACAAATCTTTGTATCCTTTTACAAAATATTAATTATGCACCTATCACATTTCAAAATATATTTTGTATTTGCTTGAAATTTATTTTAAGAACGAAGAGGTACAACAATGATAAATTTAACAATGATAAGAGGTACAATGATAAAACGTGTATTTGCAAATATACGAAAATTCTAAATATGCTTGAAATACATATGTAAAAAATATGTACATACATTATGCACCTCATTAAACTACATAAGTAAAAAGCTTCCTCTTCTAATGCTCGTAATTATAATACTATATTGGTACAGTTAGTACACACACTAACAAATATAAATATCTATAAAATATAGTAAAATTAGCTTTTTGTATTCGGAATTTAACAAATGCAACAATGCTATAGATTTGCGAGAAATAAATTCAGTATAAATATAATCAGCAGCAAATTCACTTGATCAGTTCTTAATTATATTTTTGATATTAAACATAACATAATACGAGTATAACAATTAAATTTCACATGTAAATGTTTTTAAAGTGTAAAATTTTTGAAATTTTGTTATGTATATTTAATAATAATTTAATCTTTATATGAATTTTCATTTCATTAACATCCCATCATATTTAAGTTACTATAAAAATAAAGAATAGGAAAATATTTTTATTTATAAGATTTACAGTTTTATTTTGAATAACGGAATGAAATGTCATTAAAAAGTAAAGGAAATTGAAAATAAAAGAAATTAAAGCGAAAATTTTTGTAAAATTAAATTTGGGTTTGAAACGTTAAAGAAGAGCTATGTAAAAAAATTCTAAATGTTCTAATTGAATATCAAGAAAAAAAACAAATGTGTGATTATTGGTGATTATGCTTTTTTATATTTAGTTTATTCTAATTTATTGAAAAATAATACATATAAAATTTGTGCTAAATTTAAAATTTGAAGTTTACTAAATAATTTTTGTAATTTTTATATTCTTTTTCTAATGAACATAGTGAAAGTGATGCAAGAATGTTTTAATTTAACATTTTTATTTTTTCTTTTAAGTGAAATTCATTTTAAATATTTCAACTTCAGTGCAATAAATGTAAGTTATAAAAGAAGACATTTAAAAAATCAATATTTAATGTAAAAATCATTAATATTTTCAAAAAAGTTAAAAATTAAATTTTTATAATTGCAATAAATTTAAATTAAATTTAAATATAAATTAAAAAATACATACGAAAACAAAAGGATTTCCTTTGTGATTAACAAAAATATTTTCAATTTTTTTTATGGTATATACATATAAAATTGTATGAGTTTAATTGAACTATAGTTGCATTCGATTATGTTAATTATAAGATATTCTGAAACACTACAATTTTAAATTCAAAACATAAAAAGGTCTAATTACTTATTGTGTTCTGAACTAAAAGCAATTATACTTAAATTTATTTATGTAAAAAGGTGAGAATAAAATTTATTGTTTGTATTTGCAACTTAATATTGGTGTTAGTTTAAATACTACACTTTAAGTTTAATTCCTAATATTGTAAATACCGTTAATGTATTTTTATTTAATTGGTTTAAATAAAATAAGTTTAAATAACAAATACATACGTACATATGTATATTTAAATTTATAAGAGCAGTAAAAATTAAATTAATGCAATTTTTGATTATGCTGTAAATAAAAGTTTAAAAGTTAAGTTATTAAAGTTGTGAATGAAGTGTGAACTGAGTTGAAAATTGAGTTTTTAAGCAATTATTTTTCTATTTTCTAAAATAAAGTTGATTATTTTAGTGGTCTTACTTATTTTTCTTTTTTCTAGAGTTTGATTTAATTTAAAAACATCAAATTACTGCTGTTGTTACATTATTTAGTAAAAATTTTTTGTGGTTATGGGTTGATAAATAATTGAGGTTTTAACTCAAAATTTATAACAAATTTAAATGAAAATTTATTAAGCATTAATTGAAATTTACATATCAATAAATATTTATTTTGAATTTATTTTAGGTATATATGATGATATTATTAATAAACCAAAAAATCATAAATCATATGTTTTCGCTATCATAATACTCTAGGCCAATAACTCGTGTAAACATATAGAAAAATTGACATGCGAATCAAAAACATGGAGTATTCGTTTTTATACAGATTCGAATACATTTTGTGTATGCAAGACACAAAACCAGTGGCGGGCCAAATGAGGGGGGGGCTCTAAGTGGTAAAAATATCTGGGCCCTTAAAATCAAATTACACAAAAAAAAAGAAAGGTTTTCGTGAATTAGGTGAACATAAGTGTTCTCACATTTAAATTAGTGAACATCTCACATTTAGATATTCCTAAAAATATGAAAGTAAAATTCCGTATTTCCAGGTTTATGTAAAAGAATTTATTCAAATTTTGGTCTTTTTAAATACGAAATTTACTTCCATGTCGAATTATTTTGCATAAAATTTATAAAAAGTTAGTTCACCCAGCAGTTAGTTAGTTAGTTTGCACGGCTCCCCGAAGGGTACACTTAGGCCACCCAAGCCCGTTGTAGTGCAGCCGGATCTTTCTCTTCTCCGTCATTAGAACCAGTCCGAGTTCCTCAGAATTAGTTCACTTAGTAAACTAGTTCATCTGGTAAAATTATTGAAAAATTGATAAAAAATAACACAAACTAGACAAACCAATTTATTTGAATCTTGCTTCATTTACAGTTGAAACGTACTTTTAGAGAGTTGAACTACAATAAAATACAAATGGTAAAAATTTATTGTGATTTTTTTAACTTAATTTTTGAACATTTATTTTCTGAGAATAAAAATATTTACAAAAAATTTGTATTTGCTATTTCGCAAAAATTATGTTATTAAAAAAATTAATTATGCAAAATAAAAAAGGTATGAAAAATATCAAACGCAAAAAAAAATTTTAAAAATTGGTTTCAAAACAAATTCCTTGGCACTAGAAAAATTCACACCATTTTTTCGGGCGCTTGAAAGCTCGCTTCCCCCCTCCCCTGAGCGTTTAGTTTGCCTGTCATATAATTTGCCACTGAGGAAGGTATCTGTAAAACTGAATAATAACACAAAACAACAAGAATTATAAAAAAATATTGGTAATGAAGTTCAAGAAATTAAGCTTATATGTATGTAAGTATGCCTTAAATTCGTTTAAAAATAAATGAATCTTCTGTTCAACAAATTCTTTTTTCGATGTGTATTAATTCAATTAAAAGCACTATTCGATTTAAAAAAGCAACCTAATTAACCGTATCATCTTATTTTTTTCATAAATATTTAGAATTAATAGTTGCAAATTTCTTTTATTTTATTGAATTCGTATGGTGTTCTGTCTAATTTTGTTTTTTAAGGCGAAGCTAAAGTACATAATTAGAATTCATATAGTCTGTTTGTATATTATAATTAGATTTTTCAATAAAAATAATTTTCTCAACGACATAATTTCACATGCTAAAAAATGCTGACAAACATTTAAGGCCACTTTGGAATGTTATAGTTTTTGAATCCTACCACGTACTAAGATGTTGTAATTTTCACTTTTTATATACAAATTTATTTACAATTACCCAATTGCTTCAAAAATAATTTAGTTTTCTTAAAAATATCGGGTACAACCATAAATTATCACTTTCATTATTATTATCACACTTAATGAGTTATGTAAACTTACTAATATTTTTAATAAATATGGAAATGTTCAAATTTTAAATCAAAAAAATATGTTTAATATTTTTCATATTTTGTCTTAAGAAAGTTTTCATAAACCGAGCATAAAAAATATTTGTTCAAAATATTCTAGAGATTTTTTAAATTTGTTTCGAAAAAACTACATTTTGTTTTTAAGAAGGACTGTATTTTAATACTAGGTCCTGTATTGTAATTAATGAATTTTGTTTAAGTGCATACGCAATTTGACTTTAAAACAAGCTTTTTATGTCGAATCGAATATTTGAAACATAGAGACTTTTGGTATGACATATTCAAACTCTTTCCATAGTATGGGCGTTTTTTACATTAAAACATATTGGAATCTCTTCAAAAATTCTTATATACATTATAGTCATCTCATTATCACATATTATAGGCATTACATATTATAGTTTCTAGAAGTCGTGCAAATATTGACCATTAATTTATCTTTCGTTTCATCGTTTATTAGCAATGAATCTGATATTCAACTTCCTAATTAATGAACGAAAACGCCCTACAGGGAAAACAAACGTCAACTTGATTTCCAATATTTTCTTTAATCTTATTGTATTATGCTTTTCAATTTTTTTATTGTTTGTTGCCATAATATATTCTGACCTTATTTTGTTAACACACTCTTTTACTGATTTTTAATATAAATATATTATAGTTTTCTTGACATATTTTGTCATAAATTAAGGTTAAATGACTTAATGCTGAAAAGCTTCCCGACAGTGTTAGCGAAATATTAAAGTAATAACAATCATCACAGCAATGTAATTTATATTTTATAAGTGTAAGTAACTCATAATATTTTGAGAACACATTTGATTCAGGATTTAAGCTGGCAATTGTATAAATGAACGAGAATAGGTAGGGTATTCTCTAATTTCAGTGACACCTGTGTGAGTGAGTAATTTCAAATGTTGAACACCATCTTATAGGTCCTCTTGTATTATTGCACTTATTACACTATTTCAGATATACATGACAGTTTACTATATAAACCCATACAATTTCAAAGACTTTTGACGAAAATAATGACCAAATTACCAATTTTGTTTGTGAAAAATTTCAGTGCTGTAGTTTCAATAGTTTCTATAATATAGAACCGACTAACTTTTGAAATGGCATGACAGCTACCATAACGAGTCTTGCAATTTGAATGATTTTTTATTATACGTAAGAGCCTTAACAATATATTTGTTCGTGCGCATTCTTAAAACTATACCTTCATTGTATGGCAAATATCATAAGCGATTATGACATATCAACCGTTTTCACCGAAGACAAGGGAGATTTTTTCATTTGTGTTTTTGCAAAATTCGAGTATATATACTGATATTTCAAAAGTGTCTAAAATCTGACAAAATAACGTTTGGAGTTACATGGTACATTTAATTTTTTGATATGATCTAAGTTGGTGATTCTACACCTCTTTTTTGCTGGTGGTCTCAAAAAAGACAAAAATTGCAAACGAGGTCTTTTCCTTTTTTTTAAAAATACCTTTATTTTGTAATCTTTTTCATTATATATTTTATACAATATATGTATGTATATACACATCAGTAAAAGAAATTGCATCAGTAAAAAATTATGCGTTATTGTTCTAAATTTCTTTAGCATCATATTGATTCTTAAGGAATTTAGAATAAGAAGTTTTATTTGCTGAGATTATTGCTTACATTGATACTGCTGTCAGTAACTGATTTCAAATTAAGGATACTTAATCATAAAGTTTGTTATTTGCAAGAGCAAAGTATGAAAATAAATGTTTTTCTATACCAAGAAATACTGCTCTAAGCTTTAAAATAAAATGCGTATCTATTGTTTACCATTAAATCCACTTGTAAAAATATACTTATGTAGGTAATAAATTCTTAATACAAATATTTACTTTCATGTAAAGCCCTTAAAATGTTTGTAATATAATAACATATGTGTTTGTATATATGAAATGTATGTAAATAATAAAAACAATCCATAACAGAAAAAGCTAAAATAAATTTTAAAGTGTGGTTTACGGAGTTTCTATTAAGACAGATAATAATTTTTTTTCGTTTAAATAATAAATTTTCAACTTTTGGAAAAATTCTAACTTATAATCAATTCTCACTTTCATAAAATCTTAACAAAAGTTTGGTGGTGGTCGCAAACCGCTGACATGGTGGTCGCAAACCAATTTTAGCAATTGGTCTATTATTTGCTATCTTAGCCAAAGACCCTGAATAAAAAGATAGAAAATCTAAGAATCTAAGATAGTCTAAGATAGAAAATAATTTCCCCTGAAATTATTTGCTATCTTGACCAAAGACCCTGCATATTTATTTAATAAAAAAATTTCTTCAACGTTCGTTCTATTAAATTAAAAATAATATATTCCTTCATTTTAATTACATTAGTTTTCAGACTGAATTATTAGAACAAGTCTTTTAAAAACCAATTATTTTAAAGATGCCATCTTTTAATAAAGAAGAAAAAATTTGTAAAAAGAACCGAAATATCAAAAGAAATTAATTTATTTTTATTGTTTTCTGTCATTACTTAAAACGATTAAGAATTTATAGCTGGTTTCATAATTTTTTTGCTTTCGAAATACTGCAATTAAAATAAAATCAATTGTATAATAAACTCTGTAATTAAATATGAAAACTTTTTAATTTATTAGATCTATTTTCAGTCATATAAATTATGACAGCCCATTTTTCCATCTCTTATTTAATATTTTGCAAATTAATTGAAATTTCTTTCAGTA